CACTGGCCATCAAGTTCACCGTCTCCAGGACCTGCAGGGATCGGATCTGACGCACCACTGTGGCCCGGTCGAAGCTGCCGGCCGCCTCGGATCCATTGCTCGTATGCAGCGCACAAAGTGGGGCCTGGCATGCACCAAGGTCCGCAGCAGGTTGTCCAGCCTGGTGTGAAAGTCTTGGGTCAGCGTGGACACCGGCTCGTCCCCATTCAGCAGATCCGAGTGGGAGGTGGGCGAGATGCGAAAACTGAGGCCACGCGGCGCCTGCTGCTGGGCATACAGAGCCTTCAGCTCCGAGCCAAAGAGATGGGTGGCAAAGCCAAAGTTGCAGGTGTGCTTGTAGAACACCGCCACCAGATCATCTGGCACCACGTCGCGATTCGTGTCCAGAAAGTCCGTGGTGTCGTACTCCACGCGGCCGGCAAAGTGACGGATGAGGAACATGCGTGGATCGTGCGGCTCGGCGGTGGGCTTTGTTTGGAGCTTTGTTTTTCTTTGTACTTGGGCGGCTCGCTACACTCCGCGTCCAGCATGCTGAGGAGACCCGTTCGCAGGGACGAAATCAGATCGATGCAGGGCACATTGTCCACATAGTCCACCTCGGTGTCGCAACGATGCCTTCGTCTCGGCAGGACTCCACCGAAGACTCTTGGCCACGTAGCTCTCGGCGGTACCTCGCACCGAACACTCCGCGTCCAGCATGCTGAGGAGACCCGTTCGCAGGGACGAAATCAGATCGATGCAGGGCACATTGTCCACATAGTCCACCTCGGTGTCGCAACGATGCCTTCGTCTCGGCAGGACTCCACCGAAGACTTGAAGATGTGCGTGTTGTAAAAGTGTTGCATGGTCTCGGCACACAGGTTGATGCACAGATGCTCCAGATGGGCGTGTGGCGATGGCTCCTCGAACCCGAACATGTCCAGGATCCCAATGAAGCCATCGGTGGCATGACGCACCGCATTGTTGAGAGCAGCCATCGACTTGGAGCCTGCATTGCCGCCGCCAATTGTGGAGGCGTGTTGTGAGGCAGCATCCGCCTGGTTGTGCACCGACTCGTTGGAGTCCGAACTCAAGGTGCCCAGTGTGGATCCCAGCCGCTTCAGGCTGTTGGCTCTGCGCACAATGGTGGCCACTGTGCGGCAATAAAGAGCCTTTGCCAGGCAGTCTCGCGTCATGTTGGCATCCCCATCACCGCACACGGACTTCACAAGCTGGCCGCGCACATTGTGGGTGCGGGTGGTGAGGCCGCGGAAGAGGGCGGCAGGTGGTACGCCCAGCAAACTGGATACAGAATTTAGCTCCGTCTCTCCTTGACGTCCACCTCGAGGCCCTGAAAGAACAAAGAGTAATAATTAGTTAAGTTGAGGAAAAGGTAAAATATTTCTCGCTCAGAATTAAAAACATCAAACACGGTTCTTTTCAGACGTAAATTACCACTAGACGATGTAAATTAATACATTCCATCAGCGCAAGAAATCTTGGAAACACAAAGCTGGAGCGGGATTCGAACCCGCGCAAGCGGATTGGGAGACCGACGCTCTAGCTCATGCACCAAGGCGGCATCAGCAGTTATGCTGTCCAAATATAAATACTGCTTATATTAACTGCTTTACCGACACTTAACTTGTAAGCTAGATGGCGCCACAGTTTCACTAAAGTGAAACCGCCGGATTCAAATATAAATTTTAATTTCTCGCATTTTACTTATCTAAAATTAAAAAAATATAGCTCAACTCACCCCGCTATCGATGAACTGAACATTTCCAGCAGCAGGACAGCGGCCAGGACTCGCACAACATCCAGAAAGGGAATGCCTAAGATGCCCAGGCAAGTTTTCCACGCCTGGAAGCGTATTGCATCCTCCTGCTCATTCTGGGCAAAGTCACCGCGCAGATACCGCAAATTGGCAGGCGAATATCCCTCCAGATGCAACTTCTGACGCTCCTCCCGGTTCAATCCCGCCAGCATCTGATAGAAAATGTGGTAGTTTTTCTCCTTGGGCAGCGGCCGAATGACCCGCGTCTGGTCGAGGAAGTAGCAGTGGATCTTAGTGCGGTACAATGCTCCATCCGTCACCTGCACTTCGATGAACTGCCCGATGCGACTGGATTCCGAATTGGTGGTGGTCTTTGCAGATCCCAGGGATCGCAGCACCGTAAAGGCAGCGGCCAAATGCTTAAAGGCATCCGTCTCTGGTCCTCCGCCAGCGATGGCAAACAGTTGGCGCAGCATCAGCATCGCATTGGCCGTCTTTCCAGCTCCCGAAGTGCCCGAGAGAATGATGGCCTGCGGATAGCCCGTTTCGCTCTGCTGACGCACTGCCTCCTGGACGATCTTCTGCAGCTGGGGGCCAGCGGCAGGGTCCGAGTGGATGTGAGTGTCAGGGGATTGCCCACATCCAGGTAGGGATTAATGGAGAGCAGAATCGGACCAACGTTTGTCTGAAAAGCAAACAAAATATTTAATAAGATAAATGTGAGGGCATTAATAAAGGTGATGAGTCAAGAAGACCGGTGTACTTTTGGTCAGTTCCAGGAAAGCCTCGAATATGAAAGATAAAATCACTTGGAGAACTCAAAAGCGAACTTCTAACTTTGTTTTCTCAGATAAAATTGGACAGATAAGAAAAAAACTATTCCTAAAGTTAATGTTCTATTATTTATACTTCTGGCTAGCCAGGGAAAATAATAAAAATATAACCCAGTCTCTTGACTCAAATAATTCTATTAAAATGTTATTTAAATTTAATTCAATTTAAACTTTAAGGCACTCTTTTGTTTAGAGAGTGTAAAGTATTTAATTAACAAAATAAATTGCAATTTTTGGAAGCTCGTTTGTGCCTCATTTAACTTTAAGTGAATATAACTAAATCTATAAATCATATATTTATACACTATGCTCTAATTGAAGACAATTCGAAGTGTACTTAAGCTTTATGACTCCATAAATTATTTAATTATAATAATATGAAAGAAAGAAAGGAAAACAAACGGTGCAGTGGCAGCACATTTAAATTTAATCAATTTTTCTGCTCCGTTTTACACTATATAATCTGGAGCGGAGGCACAACAAATAAAGGCCTGGAGCTCCACCAGTTATGTGTGCTCACACCCCATCCTCAGTTGCTTCAGTTGCTTTCCCCTAGACCAGCCAGATCACCAGCAAACCATAACACTTCCTTCGCCTTTCGCCAGAGGGGCACACACACTGAGTAATTGTCGAAATTAGCTGTTAATCTGCGGCCGAGTGCAAACGGAGTTGGCTTTTAATGACAAACTATCAGAATAATTGCTCCGAGTGTGTCTCTGGAACCGGTTTGCAGCGAGTCTAGTGACTCCAGAGATCTCCAGGGATCTCTTTCATACTCACAAAGTATCGCTGCTCGTTGAAGCGCGCCTGCAGCGTCCGCATCACGGCGTGCTCGGTGAGTGGTCCAGTCAGATGGATCAGATCCTGCATGTCCTTGGGCAGGGGACTGGTCGGCTGCTGAAGCCTCTGCTGGCCACCAGAGAAACCAAAGCCAAAGGGCAGCGTCTTCACACTCTGGCAGGGATTGGCGTGCTTCGGCTGTGGGATGAACGGCAGCTGCTGGCTATGGGCATGGCTGAGGGCGTGCTGGCCAATTCCACCATTGGTGCACTCAGGTGTCCGGTGTTGAGAGCGCATGGGCAGCGTGTTGGAATTGGAATTGCTGTTGGAGTGGGCAGCGCCTGGTGTTTGCGAATGGGAATGGGCATGGGAACTCAGCCCCATAATGTTTCCCATGCTGCTCCCGTGGGGCAGGTCCCGGAGGACGGGCCACGTCCGTTGGCGCTCTGCTGGTGCGACAGGCCAGATTTCTCGCCCAGCTGGTGCGGAAGTGGATGCGGAATGGAGGTGTTCCTGGCCGACACCACAGCTCCGACACCAGCCCCGGAGCCAGAGTTCGATGGCAGCGTCTGGCTGAAGTTGTGATCTATTGGAGAGAGAAGATATTCAAAAAAGTTAGAGTTTAAGGTAAGTTTTACAGAAGAAATAAATAAGTAAACTCCTTATAAATAACTAATATATATAATAACTTTTTAGTTATATTAATTACATTTAAAAAGAATCGGCTCAAGATTTCAATCTCTGCTTAATATTCTGTTCATGTTTTAAAAAGATTTCAAGGATAAAATCAATTGAATGAATAAGACTTCGAAATAAGAACAAAGAGCTACCAATAATACTAATGAAGTTCGACAGGAATCAAGACTTATTTAAATGATAAATTAATATTTTTAAATATATTTAAGCATTAACTTACCTTCGATGCCGTATGCTGTCCATTTGTGTGTTGTTGCAGGGCGCTGGCTGAGAGTCCTCCTCCGCTGGAGCTGAGATTTAGGTTGGGACTGGAGGCATTAAGATCAAAGTTACTCGCCTTGGGGCACGAGTTGTTGCCGCCAGTTGAGCCATGGATTGTGATCCATTGCCCTGGCCCTGATTATGGCCCGGACTCTGTCCCTGACCCTGACCCTGACCTTGGCCAACATGCAGGCGATTCCGAAGGGTCACCAGTTCGGTACTCAGGCTCTGAGTCGCTGCTGCAGGTGAACCGCCTCATTGGATGAAGATGCATCTGAAGGATCAAGAAAAGGTACATATATACATAAGTTAATAACCATTATATAAAAATGAATTGTCTTTGTTCTTATTGATTTTTAATAATTATTGATCCTTTTCCCAAACTTCTTGCTCTGCACAGAAGCTGCTATTTGAGGTAGAGAAACAATTAAGTAGCATCTAGGTATCATTATATTTATAAATATTTACAGAACAACAAGTTCAAATACTCAACGATAAATAAGACAAAATACGGGTAGAAAAGAATGGTTCTTTAATAGCCAAGACAACGGGTTTGCACAATAATTTAGATTGCTAAAAGCAACACCATCCTAAAGGATTCAAGGATTATGCATTCGTCCCTCCCGTCTAGCGCTTGAAGGCTATGGAGCTCGACTTGGCATGGGTGCCTCTAATCATGGGCGGGATGACATGCCCAGATGCATGGCAGTGTCGCCCGACAGGGGATAGACCAGTGGCTGCCGCTCCGTGGTCCATATGATCGGACGGGTCAGCTGCTCAACGCTAGTGTCCAGCTTAATGGCACACTTTCCTTGGTGGAGGCTAAATCGCAGCGGCTTGTGCAGCTTGTTGTGGGGATCACGGTAGTAGTCACGGTACTTCTGGGACTCCAGATAGAAAGTGTCGATCCTGTCGAGATCCCCATAATCCACGATGGTCAATCCGATGCGGGGAGCAAAGCCCAAAATGGCACGTCGCTGCACCTCTGCATTTTTGGACACCTTGAGCATGTCCACCTCGGGTATGGTTTCATTGATCATTTCCAACATTTTGGAGCAATTGTAACAAGTAAACTTTCAACTTCGCTAGGGTTCTTTTGTGTGCTCAATGTGGGGAAAGTTAGTATGCTGAGGGACTAGACTTTGACAACTAAATCAAGGAATCATTCTTACTTTTAAACATTCAAACATTTCGTTTAGAACGATGGAACATTTACAAATATCGACACACTATTCTGGCGAAAAGGAATTTCGCATTGTCAATTAACAACTCAATACAGTGAAAATCAAATTCACACCAATTAATTCCGCTTAGGTTGACATAGCTTTTGCACGCGAGTCTGGCCTCTCAGAGGCTTGTGCCGACCGAGCATCTTAAGATATTTTAATAGATATGGATGGGGCAGATTTACATAAAATGTTAATGAACCAATTTCGCCAGAGTTGAAGAAAAATGGAGACACAGAATGCGCCAAGATGAAACACAACCGAAAACAGACACACACACAAAATTGGCGGCATCTTAAACAAGGGAGTCAAGAACTAAAGATTTATGGAAACTTTCAAAACAGGCCGAGAGAGGTCATTGTTACAACCCAGTCAAGCCAGAGGGCCAAGCAAAGCTCTGACCAATTTTCATAGATCATTCAACAAAAATCAAACTAATTAGCTGATGAAAAGCTAAGGGGGAAAATGACCCTTCCACAAAAGCCTGTTTCGCTCTCTAAAATCAAACAGAGAGCGACAACGGCTGGCATGGAGGAGCTTACAACAAATCAGAGATTCGACAAAATACAGAAAATCATATCACTGATGGCTTTAGCTCTGGCGGAGGAAACCAGTTTTAGATTCGGTCTTTTCTTCGATTTGTTGTTTCTTGTGCTGCCCACAGCTGCACTCAAGAAATGTAAGACAAAAGCCACGGAAAAGGGTACAGAAAAGACTTGCCATCCAAGTCATGCAGGTATTTTGAAATCTTTTTAAAGACTCTTTTTTTCTTTTTTGTTTCTGTTGTTGTTGTTTTTTTATGAAGCTACGACGGACCTTTTACCCCATTTAGTGATTGGAAATCAAAGTTTATGGGGCCCGTGGTAAGTCATTAAATTTAATTGTAACATTTGTGAGTAATTCGTCATCGTTTCGCTATTGGCTTCCTTACTTGTATCTTAAGGCTTTTGCATGTCGCAAAAGTTGGGGCGGGGAAAGAAAACATTTCTTGGAAGCTGAGTAAACGAAGTCCCAGCCCAGCCGAAAAAAAAACTGGTCGGAGTCGCACCAAGCTCAGGTTATCCGTCTCTCTGTCCAGACGTCTTCGACTCCGACTCCGACTCCATCGGAGTTCGTTGCGGGTTGCGAGGAGAGCAGCCGAGGAGCAGCATCAACGAAATGTTGCAAGTCGGGCCATGCGGCACCCATATACCAAAAAGCACCCAGAGCTACACAGTAATAAATATTGGCCTTAACTTCAATTGATTTTGATTTGTGTAATACTAAAGATTATTTAATATTTAGTCAAGTTTTAGCTGCTCAACAACTTCAATAATCATTAATAATTTGGTTTTAATAAAAAAGGAAAATAAGCACAACAATTTAATTATAGAATGGTTGTGAGTTTCATTATAAGCATCCAATTGATATGAAAATAAATTTCTAATATCTTTAGTTGAATCAAAATTATTAATACAATGCTCAATTTTCTTTGTGTGTAAGATCAAGCTCTCCAAATAAGGGTATTCGGACTGTAAGTTGTTGGGGATGGTTATGAATATGAATGCGCTTGGAGGTTGATTGAAATACACAGAGACTCAGCTTCTTATGGTAATGACAAGTGAGTCGAGAACCAATCAACTGCCAGCGGTGACTTCTGATCCCAGGAAGGAGATCGAAACAGCTTATAAACCAATAATAAACATTTCTTGTTTGGAGCTTAATGAAGCACTAAAATTGTTTATTATGGTTGAAAGCTTCTATAAAATGAATATATTGTTACATTACAATATAAATGAAATAGAAAGCAGTGTATTATTCATATGAAACAAAATAACTAAGCCACATTCAAATCAATTTTAATTGATAAACGAGACTTATGTTTTAGTTTTAATGATACTCTGCTTAATATTGTTATAAAAAACATTATTTATAATATAAATATTCTTTATTCTTTAAATCGATATTTTAGATTACAATTTCTAAGACAAATCAAAGTTTAAAAATCTCATAACTCAGTAAAAATGTTTTAATTTCAATTCGGAAAGCGTTCTAATGTTAGTTTTTATTAGTTAAATAAGACCGCATACTCAATTTAAAATTTTAGAAAATTAAAATTTTGACAATTTTTGAAAATTTAATGATGTAACCCTTATTGTTTTTTTGCAAAAAGTAAGAAATTGTTAAATTTTTTTTCAACCCAACATGGCTAGATTGATTCAGCTGTTAATGCTGATCAAGAATATATATAATTTATAGTCTCAGAAATGACTCCTTCACATCATAACAAGCTGCTGTCTAAAATTGTAATACCCTGTCAGGTTATAAAAATATAGCTAAAATCGACAGTTTTTAAGGAATATCAATCCCTGTTATGATTTTACATCCCTGTTTAGCATATTATTTAATTTGTATAATCGACGTGTGCCTGCAGCCAAGCCAAATCAAAAGACTTAGGCAACGAACTTCTTGCAGCACTCGCCTGACGCGAGTCACAGAGCAGCCGCAAAAAAAAAGAAACCCGTTGAAATTCCTGGGGATAATGTCTCACTTACCCTGCAGCTTCTTCTCCGTCTCCCAAAATTTTGCAATTCGGTAAAGTATTATCCAGTATGAAGACTTTGACAGGCCCAATGTGGCCATCGTTGTTGTACATTTGTGAGGCGACTTTGCGACCACAACGACTCGAGTAACTTTTCTTATTTGAATAATAATCCCGTATCCGCCGTATCCGTCTCCGTCTCCGTGTCCGTGAGCAGGCTCTCACTGAACCACACACACACACACACTTTACACACACACACACGCACTTGGGGGAAACAGGTTTTCAGTTTTCCGCACAGGCTCTCTGTATCTGTATCTGTATCTATGGCATACAAACCGAACCCGAACGCGAACCCGTACCCGAATATCTATAGCTACATGCAGCTGCAACAAGTGAAGCGGCCGCACAGCACACCAAATACAACGAAGGAAAAAAAACAATACTTAAAAAAAATATAAGCAAACAAGCAAAAAGAATGCAGAAGGGCGAGCAGCAGCACACCAAATCTCAGCGAGCCTTCTTGGCCTGGCCGGCGCTCTCCTCGGCATCCGCCAGATACTTTGGTTCTGGATCCTCCTCTCCTCCTCCTCCTCCTCCTTCGCCTCTTGCTTTTCTTATTTCTTATTGTGATTATTGTTGTGCTTTTTTTCGCTCCTCTCGCGGGCGCGCTTATTTCTCGTTTGTGCAGACTTTTTTTTTCGTCTTTTTCGGTCGCTTGTTTTTTTTGAAAAACGAGTTTCCAACTTCAACTCCAGCTCCCAGGTTTACAGTGTAGACATGCGCTTAGATACCCGTCGAAGGTACCCCGAACCCGTCTCCGTGCCACACAGCAGCGGTGTCTAGATTGATTCGCTGCTGGCTTCTTTGAACTATTTCGCTTTGGCCAACCGGTGACCTCTTGGCGCGATTAATTATAAACTTAATTGGGTTTTTCTTATGGTTTCTATTCACTCCACAAATCGAATTTGCTTTTTAAGGCGACGGCGAGCAACGATGCGAACATTTGCAACTTCAGACGCAGACTGTTCGCTTCACCTGGAAAGGTAAGCTCACCGCTCCGATTGATCTTCGCGCTGCTCTCGCTCTCCACGCTCTCTTCTGCTGTGCAGGTAGGTTTCCGCCAGGTAAAAGGCTCTGGCCACTCTCTCAGTTGCTCAAATATGAGGTCAAGTGTTGGGCGCTCTCTCGTTCTCTCTCTCTCTCTCTTAGCTGGTCGCGTGTTAATAGTGTTGATTGTTTATTGTTTATTGTTTGTTGTTTGCAGTTTTGTTATTCATGCTGCATTTCACATTTCCCACAGCGGCAACAATTGCTTTGTTGCAGTTTGCAAAGAGCTGCAGCAAGGTGGCAGAAGGTAGATCAGGTGGGGAAATGCCATCAACTGGTGTCCAAGAGTATGCTTCAAAAGGTTATATCTTTCAAAAAATACATTTCCCACTAGATTTGAACTGGAGGCATACTTTTGGTATCCTTTTCCATTGATTGTAAATCGATAAGGATTGAAATGTATGTTTCTCAATGCAATTCAAATTCAAATTTATATTTCATCATCCTATTCTAATATTTAAACATAGAATTTAAATAAATTCCAAATAAATATTAAAATATTCCTACTTTATAATTATCAAAACCCCTTGTATACATATATAAATTTATATTTGTGATCTCTCTTAAAATTGTTAATTTGCATTTAGCTTCAATTTATTAACTCCGATTAAATATATATATATTTTTAAAGAAACAATGTGTGTGATGCTGTGTGTTAAACTAGCTTCAACTGTTATGAAAAGGTTGAAGACTTTGGTAAAACGGCTTAACATGATGTGTAAAAAATGGAATCAGTTTTCTTTAAGGTTTTTAAAGGTCTTGTGACAATTTTTTCACATGCCTTCATGACTACGCATCCAACTTAATCTGTTTCAGTCTCGGAAAATGTCATAGAAGGCAGATAATGGCTGGAAAACCTAATTACACCTAGCTTTAAGTAGCAGAGCCAACTTTATGAACAGAATGTCGAGTAGAAGTCAAAGTAAATTACTAAAAACCGTGTAGAGTCCGTTTCAACCTGTAGATACAAATATGTGTGTGATCTTTACTTTCTACGGGAATTTAGGTCATGATTCAAATTAATTTATGTATATATTTTATTTACACATTATATTATACCAGCTATTATAACCTTCCAGGGAATCATACTGCTTAATATCAATTATTACTACTTGTATATCTCTGCAGCATTGTAAGTTATTTTAATTTTAGTCAAAAGATTTATTAACCCAAAAAAAAATAACAAACGAAAAGTTACCAAAATTGAATTTAATGCATTTTTTGCTTAGTTATGAGATTTGTACTCTTTCGTTTGTCGCAAAAAATTGGTATAAAAAATGGTTGTAAATATTTAAATTTTA